TAAATTAAATATTATACCATTTGATCGTGACTTTCTGCGGTGATTGAATATTCTACGTCATCCAAATCCCNTTTAAATTAAATATTATACCATTTGATCGTGACTTTCTGCGGTGATTGAATATTCTACGTCATCCAAATCCCGTTGGATTGTTATAGGGAAAATTGCAGAATACTTATCGCTTGGAAATAAGTCTTGCGCCACCTTTTTTAATAGTACGACTTGCTCAGATAAGACGTTTTTCAGTACCTCCATGTCGTTTTTATTGGAATCTATAAAATAAACAGCATATTGAGTTAAAGACATAACTTATTTCTGTTATTTGTGTGGGGTGTGTGTGTGTGGAAGTGGAACATTACATTAAAGTAAAACTATCGACTTAAGCTGTAGTGAGTGGATATGTTCTTACATTTCGTTTATTATGATAGATACCTTTCATTGCAGCTATTTCCGAGTTTAAGTTTTCCAACATAAAGTTTTTCTCCATGACTAGTATCTTCAATGACTGTATTTGCCTGGTTTGTTCCAATAGTGATTCTGAAATTATTGTAAAATAAGTATATGTACACACATACATATCGAGGGCTTATATTCAATACCCTCTATCTGCACTTCTAACAAATTAAATTGCAAAGTCAGAATTAACACCAGTGATGACAGGTAAGTACCAAATGTCTTCTAACATCACAAAGTAGTTTTTGTGAGAATTGCAGATATTGGGTATTGATATGTAGATATGATAAGAATTTAAATATCAAAAACGTTCTTACCTTGTAACTCAGCAAATTCTTTCTTAAATTTTTTAATTTCAGCCATATTATGCANGGAAATTTGAAATATGTTTATAAGAATTATATGTAGCTGTGCACTAATGGTAACAAAATAATATTTTCTTTAAACGGTAGACCTACTAATTTGCAGTGAATATCTTGTATATTATATATATCTTCTGGGCCACAGCTTGCAGTACTTACGACACTGATTCCAAGGTCCCAGGAAGGAACAGGTGTTGCGTAAAAGTCTTTTGGATGCAGAAATTCCCTCGAATTACAACTTTATAGCTTACATTGTTGAGTGAAATACCATCAACCGATAGTCCCTTGATTTCCTCTACAAAATCGTGAAGGTAAACTTCAATATTATATGGCTTCTTTTTACCAACGTAGCATCCAATTAAAAACACTTGGATTTTCCTGCAGAATTTCATTTGCTAATTTTTCCAATTGTATTTTTACGCCAATATGGACATATTGGCCTGGGGAAACGGTGCGCACTACACATTTTTCGGGGTGATCTAACAAAGACCCAACACTTAGAGGCACATTCAGGTTTTCGCTTTTTAAAATATTTAATAAGCTCGCGCAACAACGAAACGAAGGTTTGGCTTGAAGCGTCTTCGGCTCCAATTCTACAATTCTATTCTCACCATTTACACTCTCACTACCAGATTCAGCTATTCTTCTCGCATTTTCACCCTTTTTTATTTCTCATTAGTACACAGCACATATTTTTCCTACGATTTTCATCAATTTTTTTATTAATTTCACTTTTTTGTTTTTTTACT